GCTCTTCTGGCCTGGACGATGATTCCACCTCACCTCCTGAGGCTCAGGCCCCATGGCTTGCAGAAGTGCAGGGGCTCTGCCTGACTGCCTGAAAGGTGAGCAGGAAACAGGAAAAGGAGACAGCTCAACAGGCCCCCGGGGCAAGGGCAGTCTGCTGGCAGCAGGGCCCAGAAGGCCTTAGATCAGGAGACCAGTGCTTCTTTCCACCAGAAGCAGCCTCTATGCTCAGTCCCCACCCTGACCCCCTGCGCAGGTGCTGCTGAGCCTGAGCGATGAGGACCTGGAGCTAGGCCTGGGCGTGGGCAGCTCCCTGCACCGGCGCAAGCTCCGCCTGGCCATTGAGGACTATCGGGATGCAGAGGCAGGCAGGAGGTGAGCCTGTGCTCCGGGACACTGCCTGGGCTGGACCCCAGGGTGGTGGGAGGGCAGTCTCCCAGGCCTCCAGGCCACATAGGTGGGGTGATCGATGCTGTGTGCTGGGCCAGGGGTGGGGGACGTTGGGGTGTGACTGGAATGGTCCAGGGGCATACTGGCCTGGGAGCCCAGGCCCCTCCTGTAAAAAGACAGACTCATGTCTTCATGGGGCCCGAAGTGTCCTGTGGTACCCCCCTCCAGTGACAAGTCAGGGGAGAGTCGCATGACCCCAAGAACCTCCGTGGCCCCCTGAAGCCAGTTTGCAAACTGGGCCAAAAATTCTGCATGGCCTATTTCATCTCAGCCTCTTACCATTCCGGGTGAGGGAGGATGGTAGCAGGCTGGGAGGAGCCGGCAGAGAGGACGGAATGGGCACAGCGGGCTTCCCGGGATCTCCCCATGAGGCTGGGGCCAGGAGGGAGCAGGCTTCTCTCACCTAGGGAGCATGGCCAGGAGCAGCCGAGGGCCTCCTTTGCTGACTGTCCCCTGTGAGGCCACCTGGCCCTGCCTCTGCCTGCCTCTCTCCCCCTTGGGTGAGCAGAACATGTTGGGGTGCTCTCGTCGCCAGGCAGGGAAGGAGCCCCCACTCCACACAGTGCTTCCAGTGCCGAGGGAGGAGGAACCAGCTTTGTAAACCTGACACTTTCTGTTTTGCATAATTATCTCCTTCACTGGTTTCCCCATCATCTTCGTGCAGTTAATTAATCAAACCTGGTGGTGTGTGCTGTTATTTGCAGAAGCAGCTTTGTGGATTAAAAAAGGGGGGGGGGGGCTAGGGTGGAGAGTGAAGCTGGGTTGGAAGCAGGAAAATCCATGTGTGCTGGGAGAGGCCCCTTGGGGTAATTCTAAGGTGGCAGGAAGTTCAGAGAAGAGACCGGAAACTCGCATACACACTTTATCGTGAATAAAGCGAGCAAGGAAAAAATAAATAAATAAATGCAAAAGAAACTTGGGGAGCAACTCAAAGCAGGCAACCAAGAAGGTGCCAGACCTTGTCAACGAGGCAGGATGCTGGCCCTGCAGAGACAGGCTGGGCTGAGGGACTGAGTGGAGTGACAGGGCAGGAGTGGCAAGCCACGCCCTGCTGGGCCTCACAAGCACTTTGGCTCATCACCCACCTCCTGGCTGGTTTCACCCACCAACGCCCCCAAAGCCCTCACCAGCCTCCTTCGCCAAGCCGGAAACCCTGCCGCTCACCCACACCCTGCGAGTGCACTCACCGGACAGGGAGGGCCTGCCAGTGCTCGCTTCACGCGTGCAGGGAGGGGGTGCTACTTCCCAAGCTCGCCCCAAATGTGGCTCTTGGTCTGCTTGGGCTGCCATGACCAAATATCTCAGACTCGGGTTAGACAGCAGTAATGTGTCCGACCGGTCTGGAGGCTGCAAGCCGAAGATGCCGGCGTCGTCAGGGTCTGCTGAGGGCTCTCCTGGCTTGCAGAGGGCTGCCTTCTTGCCGTGCCCTCACACAGCAGAGAGGAGAGCACACGTTTGCTGTCGGCTCTCTTATAAGAAGCATCCCCCGGGGGGCTCACACAGATGGCCTCATCTCACCCTACTGTCCTCCCAAAGGCCCATCTCCAAACACCATCACAAGGGAGGTTAGTATTTCCATTTATAGATTTGGGCAGGGACATACTGGACAGGGTGGCTGACCCTGAGAACCCGCAGGGGCCCAGAGTCTATAGTGACTGGAGTGGAGTGAACTCACATGAGCAGCCAGAAAGGGCTGAGGAGTTCCACGGGCTTTGAGCAGGACAGCTTCTGGGGGTCTGAGAAGGCAGAGGCCTTGTCTGAGTGTCTTGTTCTCTGACTCAGCCCTCTCTGGGCCCTCTCCTCCTTATCTGTAAAATACAGCAAAACCTGCCAACCCATCCCTGTCACTTACGGACACAACTGTATCTAGCCATCGTGACATCAGTACAGAGTAGACACGTTCTTACTCTCGTTTTAAAGATGGGGAAAGTGAGGTGCAGAGAGAAAAGTGTGTGTGGAAGTCCCTTCAGTGTCTGACTTCTAAGTCAGTTGCCTTTCCACTCTCACATGTCACCTTTGTGTTCGAAACAACAGGCCAGCCTTGATGGCAGAGCAGAAATGCAACACTCTGCAATGCTGAGGCCCCAGGTTCGTGTCCCAAGGCCTCCCTGGACACACCGGGCACATACTTACACATCTGTGATCCTGGCTGGCCGGACTTGGGGGGGTGGATCACAGAGCAAAGACCCTGTGGGAGGGGCCTATAAATAAATAAATAAATAAACTTTAATACAACAGCAGCAACTCCAACTACTATTATTTCTTGTTTAAGAGAGGTTTTTGCTATAGGGCGCATGCACTCACTGTAAAGACAGAGAGAGATAGAAAGTGAGAAATCACCCCCCGGGGGGGATGGCCACGCTGCAATCCCTTCTCCTCCATTCTCCTCTCGGGATCTTGGGCACGCATGTACACGCAACTAGCGTGAATTTAAGCCACTGGGTCCAGGACTCGAACCACGGTCAACTAAGTGGAAGTCCAGCGACGTAACCACTATGTCATCTGCTGGTCCCCCACTCCTATTATTTATAACACTCAGAGTGTCCCAGACCCTGAGCTGAGGGTTTCACGTCACCTACGTCTTTTAGTCCTTCCAACTCCATGAGGCAAGCGTGGTTATCCCCATCTCACAGACGAAGCAGGTGGGACCCAGAGGTGCAGGTTCACAGAGGTCCAGCAGAAGGAACTGTGTAGAACACCTTGCCATTTTCTGTGTGACCCAGAGGATACCTAAATTCTGTGCCTGTTCTTAGACTTCAGGGTCTAACCTACTCCCAGTTAGGGGGAGGGGGCAGCGACGAATGTTATAGAATGTCTGAATTATTCTGAAAGCCATGTGTTTTGTTCAACGTGAGCTCTTACAATCGCTCCAACCAGCGGCTGGGAAAGTGCTGCTGAGCCGAGGCCCCACGGGGACAACGTTAATGAAAAGAGAACCGTTTTGAAGGGCAGCAGCATATTAATTGTCAGCATGCGGATGGATATCGCTCTAAACGGGCCTCTCCCGAGTAGGTTAAGCAAGGCGTCCCCTCCCTAGCCCACCTCCCCAAATCTGGCTGTGCTGTTGATCTGAGAGGAGAGGAGCTTCTTCTAGTGTCTGTCAATGACATAATCAATGACAATGACAATGATTCAGGGGGCTATGAGTTCCAGCTCCTGCCCAGGGGTTGAGCCTTAGAAAGGACTGTGACAAGGCTGGGGCCAACCCTAGAGGGGCTAGGAGGGGTTCTGCCCAGGAGCTTGTCTTATTGGGCCAGAAGGTTCCAGTTCAAGAACTCCATCTGGGCAGCTTCTGGGTGGACTGGAGCAAACGCCGTACTCACCCCGGCCCTGCTCGGTCACACGTGCATTTAGCTATAAACACACCATAATGTTAAGTGTTAACAGAGCCAGATAAGCCACACCCAGTCCTGCCCTCCAGATCGTGAGGTCTGCACGATCTGGCTACAGAGACTTCCAGATGAGCAGCAGCTAAGCATAGTTGGCAAGTACAGGGGTCGGGGCTCCAGGACTTTGGGTGTGGAGGGCCTCTGACCCAGCACGAAATCCTGGGAGGCTTCCAGGAGATCAGACACTTGAGCAGGGTCTGTGGGCATTAACCATTCGAGGGGGGTGGGTGGGGTAGAGCACAGGTTGATAGACAGGGGTAGGAGGCCCTGGCCCTCAGGGAGACCCAGGTGGCTCTGGGAGGCTGAGCGCAGAGGAAAGGAGAACGAGGCCTGGAGCCCACCCTGCCCTCAGCCATTCTTCAGAGCAGGATTCAGTAAGTGTCTCCTGGGGATCTGGCATTACGCTGACCGTTGACCACTGAACGCGACCTGGCCTGACACAGCCTATACTCTCATATGCTACTATGGGGGGAGAGAAAATAAACAAGTGGTCAAGTCAGCTCATTTTTAAAACTCTCTGCATGATTCTTGCTTTGAAGAAAACGGAGACAGAGAACAGGCTGGGGGTGAATCAAGTTGGGTCACAATTGTCAGAGCCAGATGAGATGGGCCCTGAGAAGACAGGAGTGACCAGGGCAGGGCCAGAAGGAGAGCAGTGGGAACAGAGCTCAGGGCACCCCTTGGGGAGAAGGGTGTCAGCAAAGGCCAGGGCAGGTGGGACCTTGCAGGTCACTCTAAGGACTTTGGATTTGTTTCCTGCAAAGGAAAGCCAGAGAGCGATTTCAGCAAGGAGTGGCCTGATCTGATGCACGTAAGGTCTGTGGCAGCCATGGGAAGTATGGATTTAAAGGGAGCAGTCGGAGGGAGCTGGCAGAAGTCCATGCCTGAGATGGCTGAGGTGCAGGAGCCCGGGAGGGAGAGAAGCGGCCGAGGCATCGACCAGAGCTATGGACAGACTGGTGGGGTGGGCAGGCAGGGAGGCAGGGCAAGGGAGAATGGGGCTTCCAGCTCAGGAGCTGGAAGGTGGGGGAGGGACAGCAGGGAGAGGGGCAGGACTTGTTAAATGCGAGATGCTGTGACAGCTGGAACGCGTCCAGAGGGGTGCTAGGTAGAAGCCGGGAGCAGACAGAGGAGCTGAGTCCTCACTTACAGAAGCGGCCTGGGACCTGGAAAGCAAACAGCCAGTGCCAGAGCGTGGGGTTGGAGAAAGCAGGGAAGGTGAACGCATGTGCTAGCTCGGGAGATGCTCAGGAAGTGTTGCTGGAATGAAGGGAAGGTCAGCGAGGAGCCCTCAAGGACTAAGACCGTCAGCAGAGGGTGGCTACTACCCAGAAGGACTTTGGTGTCACTTCGTAAGCCCACCACTTTCCTTTTCACTCAATGATCCCTCCAGGATCTGGTGAGGCTCCCACTTAGACAATGCTGCCCTTCCACCGGGCGGCACTGGCCATTTTCCAGTGTCCTTCTGCAGGCAGGCTGCGGCTGTCCTCAATCCTTCTGCGAGGCTGCCACCGTGTGGCGAGCAGAGGCATGACAGCCGAGGGGACCACCCTCACCTTGCATGTCGGCACTTTTGACCCAACAGCATTCATTGTACCCTATGTGCGTGGCCCTGGGGTCAGTTCTGTCTGGGACACAGAGGTGAGAGAGGTGAGGTGGTAAGAGAGAGAACTTGGCCCTGCCACTGTGGCTTTGGGCACGAACAGCGTCCCTAATTTGCAGAGTGAACACCTCACACCACAGTCCCGAGGATTAGGATAAGCCTGGCATTCGTGAGTGGATGTTCCTTGATGGGGTCACGAGCATTTCTCACAATAGTCTCCAAACAAGGAAACAGACCACAGGGCAATGGGGGCCAGGGGGACACCAGGGCTGCCAGTCTTGGGAATTCTGTGGAAGCCCCATGGAAGCAAGGGTGGCAGAGGAGGGGAGGAGCCAGGAGAGGTCTCTAAAGGTGCTGCTTCCTGCTGCGCATGCCCCTGCTGCCCTCTGCAGTGGCCCTTTTCCTCTCCTCCTCCTGTGCCCTCTGTCCCTGCCTCTCTCCGTCTCCCCCTCTCTCTCCCTCCTCGTGTCTTCTGGCCCCTCCATCCTTTTCTCTCATTTCTGCTCTCTTTCCTCCTCTCTGTCTCCCTATGCCACTACTGTCCCTGGCTGTCCCTATGGCTTCCTCAGTCCTCCCCTACCCCACTGTTTCCCTCTGTCCATCTCTGCCCACCACTGCTCCCCTCTCTGCCTGTCCCTCCACCCATCCCTCTATCCTGCTGTCTCTCCTCACCAGCCTGTCCAAAGCTGCTGACTTGGACCATCACTGGGTGGCCAAGGCCTGGCTCAACGACATCGGCCTGTCCCAGTACTCCCAGGCCTTCCAGAACCATCTGGTGGACGGGCGGATGCTGAACTCCCTAATGAAGCGGGACCTGGAAAAGCACCTGAATGTGTCCAAGAAATTCCACCAGGTCAGCATCCTGCTGGGAGTGGAGCTGCTCTACCAAGTGAACTTCAGCAGGGAGGTAAGGGCCAGGAGGTGGGCACGGAGGGGCTCCACAGCCCTCCTTTCCCCTCCAGCACACCCTTTCTGTACACCCACCCAGCCAGCCAGCCCTCCCTCCAGCCAGCCATCTGGCTATCCATCCATACATGCATGCATCCATCTGTCCATCCATGCATGCACACCTGCATCCGTCCCTCCCTCCATTCATTTGTCCATCCATACATGTATCCGTCCATCCATCCATCCATGCATGCACACATGCATCCATCCCCCCATCCATTTGTCCATCCATGCATGCATCCGTCCATCCCCTCTCCCCCTCTCCCTTCCTACAGCCACTTATCAGACATGGGCCATATTCAGGGGAATAGGGTACGTGTGTCCTCAGAGCTCACCACTTGTCAGGAAGAAGCGTGAAGAAGCCAGTGATGGCAGTATTGCGGGGAGTCATCCCTGGGAGGGAGGCCAGGGCTTTATGAAAACCCAGAGAAACTTTGAAAGAAATCAAAGAGGAATCCCTGGAGATAGTGACAGCAAACTGAGGCCCAAAGGAGGAGTTCCAGAGAGCAGAAGAAGATATGAGGGAAAAGTAACCCAGCAGAGGGCAAAGGCGAAGGCCCAGAAGACAGCTCTGTGGCCACAAAGAAGGGGTACTGGGAAGGTAACCGGGGCCCACGGGGTGTGTTGAAGAGCCTGGACTCCAAGCGTCCCTTGATTCTGAGCTCTGCCAGGCCAGAGAGCACAGGGAAACAGCTTCCACTCCCCCAGGCCCTACCGAGACCATCTCCCCATGTGTCCCCCCAAGGGAGGGAGCCCAAGCTCCTGGGCCCTGGCTGAAGGGCAGTCCAGAGGGGTAACTTCTCTTAGAGACACATCAGAGCACAGACAGTTCAGAGAGGAGCAGTTGAGAGGCAAGCAGGGGCAGAAGAGGGGCTGTCCCCCTCACTCTCCTCCTGGCAGGACCCTGGGCCAGGCAGGTAGTGGGCTGGGGGAGCTGGCCAGGCCACGCTAGCGGGTCTGTGGGAAACTTCTGGTATCTGCCTCAGGCCCAGGATCGCTTTGTCGGGGAGTCAGTGGGTGACAGTACCATAAGGGATGTTTTATAGCAGGGACTCTCACTGCCCCACAGCCTGGGTAGACCCCTTGACCCCACACAAGGACCCCAATAAGTACCCATTGAGCTGGGGGCAGGACAGCGGAGATGGGGAATATGGTACAGCGTCTCACCCCACCCTACACTCCCGGCTGCCCCCATCCCAGGAGGCACCTTCCGCCCATTTCCCGGAATACAAGGCTGAGCCATGGAATGACATGACTCAAGCAGCTGTGGACGGCCTAGCCAGGACTGCTCCCCACATGGGCTCAGCAAGGTCCCCACCCGCGCCACGGGCCCTCACTCCATGTGTGACCTCTGTGTGCCTCCCCATGCCCCCTCAGGCCCTCCAGGAGCGCCGGGCCCGCTGTGAGACACAGAATATCGACCCTGTGGTCTGGACCAACCAGCGGGTACTCAAATGGGTGCGAGATATTGATCTGAAGGTGAGGGGTAATGTCGGGTGTGTGTGTGTGTGTGTGTGTATGTGTGGGGTGACTCCAGTCATATGCAAGTATCATGCAAATCTGTATGTAAATCCATGACCAGAGTTGGTGTGAGCTGAGGCACCATTGCCCACTCTGGGGAAGAGTAACCCGACTCCTGTCACTCACACAGAGGGAACCACTTACCTGTGAAGGGAGCCCTGTCCTGATGGTTTCCTCCTTAGCCAGCGCCCTGTGCCTAAGCCAGCATGGTGTGGGGCCCAGGTGTATCTTTTCATCCCACAGACGTTTCTGGACAGCCTGTCGGTGACATGGAGCCCCTGTCCCCACGGCTGTGAGGGTGGGACGCATCCCCCTTAACTGGTACCTCAGTCTGGGGGCAAGACCTCAATCTGGGCAGGTCCCCTCCTTTGGCGGTGTCCCCCGCCCAGGCTAACCTGCCTCGGCCTCGCCCTCAGGAGTACGCAGACAACCTGACCAACAGTGGCGTCCACGGCGCCGTGCTGGTGCTGGAGCCCACGTTCAACGCCGAGGCCATGGCCACCGCCCTGGGCATCCCCAGTGGGAAGCACATCCTCCGGAGACACCTGGCGGAGGAGATGAGCGCTGTCTTCCACCCGGCCAAGTGAGTGCGTGCGCGGCTGCGGGTGGCCCGGCTCTGGCAGCAGGCTCCCGCCCGTGTGTCACCTCCTGCATCCCACTCCCACCTTGCACACGGTCGTGTCCTTTCACGGTCAGGAAACAGGCTCAGGGAAGTGACGTGCTGTGGCCTGAAGGTTGTAGACTAGAAAGAGGTGGAAGGGGGCAGTCAGGTCTGGAATAAAGGTTTGTTACCCCCCCTCCCTCCAAATCTGTGTGTTTAGAGAAGGGACAGCAAGCAGTATGGGACAGGCCCTGTGAGGGTGAGTCCAGCTGGGGGGATTCGCATCAGCCTCACAGGTTGAAATGGCCGTCTCATGCTCGTGGGCCAGGCTAGCAGACCATGTCAGCCCGCCGGCCCCGGCCTCCACAGCTGGAAAGTGACCAGAGAGTGACCACACAGACAGACCGACTACACTCCCTCCCAGAGGCTCCTCCCTTGAAATGATGCACTTAGGTCAGCCAAGGTGGCACGGTGGGAGGGCAACACTACGATGCTGAGACCACTTGAGAAGGACCCAGGTTCACATCTCAAGGCCTCCTGCACAGGCTGGTGCACATGTGTGCCGTGGTCTTGGCTGGCTGAGGCTGGGGGTGGGTTGTGGTGTGAAGACCTGTTTGGGGTGCCTCTCTCTCTTTCCTTCTCTCTCTCTCTCTGGAGGAAGAACTAATTAAAATGAAATGTTTGAAAAGAATGACGCATCTGGGGTTAGATGACAGCTTACTGAGCACTCACTGTGTGCACTACCTAATTTCATCCCCCGGACAACGCCAACAGATCCGAATCACTGTCCCTCCTTGACAGATGAGGAAGCTTGTTCCAGGGGCCTAGTGACTTGCCCAAGGTCACACAGCTTATAAGTGGCAAGGGCAGATTTGCCTTTATTTTCTTAATAGGGTGTATCACATTGATTGAGCCGTGCACCAACCTTGCATTCCTGGAATAAATCCTGCTTGGTCATGGTGTATTACTCCTTCTTACACGTTTCTGAATTCGGTATGCTGGTACTTGATTGTGGAATTTTGCAATTATACTTATTTATAAGAAATGTTGACCTATGGCGTTCTTGTAATACCTTTGTCTGGCTTTGCTACCAGGGTAAGACTGCCCTCATAGAATGAACTGGGGCGTGTTCTCTCCTCTTCTGTTTTTTCGGAGAGTTGTCAAGGGTTGGTGTTCAGTCTTGAAACATTCCATTGAATTCACCAGGGCAGCCATCTTGCTCCTAGACTTTCTCTGTGGGAAGGTGTTTTACTAAATCAACACCTTTACCTGTTAAGAAGTCTATTCCGATGTACTATTTCAACTCTAATCATTGTCAATAAGTTATATCTTATTAGGAATTTGGTTTTTTTTTTTCATCCATACTAGCTCAATTGTAGGCATACAATTAATCCTACAACCATTTCATGATAATCGTTCTTAAAGTAAGTAGTAATACCCCTTTTTTTAATTCCCGATTTTAGTAATTTGAGCCTTCACTATTTCGTAGTCAGTCTACCTAAGGGCTTGTCAATTTGGTTGATAGCACCCAGATTTGAACTTGGAGTTCCCTGGTTCCAGCCTGTGTTCTGAAACTCTAAAACATGAGGGATCTTGGGGAGGAGCTGGGCCACTTCCTGTGTTACAGGCGAAGAAACTGAGGCTTGGAGAATGTTGTGTGTCTGGGCAAGGTCCGGAGTGCTGGACTGACTGTATTCTCTTAATGTGGTATCTCTATATTCCCCTTAATATGAGGACTATAGCTCTTCCCCACTCCCCAACTCCCCGGCAGGCTGATACTCAAACTGTTCCTTTTTTTTTTTTTAGATTTTTAGATTTTTGACATAGGGCACATGCATTTGCTGGAGAGTGGAGAGACAGAGACAGAGTGGGGAAGTGATAAATCACCCCCACACACACACACACACGGGGATGACTATGCTGCAATTCCTTTTCTTTCCTTCTCCTCTAGTGACTTTGGGTGCGCACACGCATCTCCACATGATTCTCAAGCCACCAGGCCAGAACCATGTCACAGTCCAGTGCCTTAACCACCATGCCACCTGCCGGCCCCAACTCAAGTTGGTTTTTGGGTTTTCTGTTTGTTTGTTTTTGCTATAGGGCATGTGGGCTTATTGGAGAAAGAGAGACAATGATAGAGAAAGTGAGAAAATCACTCCCCCCAGGGGTGGCCACACTGTAATCTCTTCTCTTCCATTTTCCTCCTGGGATTTTGGACACACACACTGTACCCAGCATGAATTTCAAGTTGCCAGATCCAGGACTCAAACCATGGTTGATCTTGTGGGAGTCCAGAGCCTTAACCACCACACCAAGCTATTCTTTTTTTTTTTTTTTTGGTAGGAATTTTTACCTTAGGGCACATGCACTCTCTGGGAAGAGAGACAGAGAGAGAGAGATGGTGAGAGGGAAAGTGAGAAATCACCCCCTCCCCCGCCCCCGGAGAATGGCCACACTGCAATTCCTTCTCCATTCTCCTCCTGGGATCTTGGGCATGCACGTACACACGCTTGGCATGAGTTTTAAGCCACATGGGTCCAAACGTGAACCACAGTCAGCCATGTGGGAGTCCAGCACTGTAACTGCTACATCCGCTGGCACTCCCCCTGCCCCAGCTATTCTTAAAGTGCGGTCCACAGATCCTGCAGCAGAATCAGCAGGGATCTTGCAGAATGCAGATCCCAGGCCCCTCCGCAGACCTGCCACCCCAGCGCCTGCTGGCAGAGCCCAGGGATTTACATCGGTAGCATTTTAAGGTGGTTTTTACAGAGACCAAAGTCCATGAGCCATGGATCAGCCAGCACAGGAAAAGGCTTTTCTTTTCAGAATTGTCGGTCTTCCCTGACCTCCCCTGGAGCCACACGATTTATAACAGGACTAAACATTCCAGCCCTGGATGCGTGGCTCTCGCTGACTGTTAACAGGTATTAGTGGATTGGATTAAAGCCTCAGCCACCCAGGGTGACAGGTGTGCTCAGACCTGCCTGGGACTAGTGCGTGCACTCCGGGAGGCTCCAAGGGGAGACAAATAGAGTGAGTCTACATTTGGTAGGTCAGAGGCTCCCTGGAGTAGATTGAAGCACTGAGCCTCCACGGGTAGGATGCACTTGGCCCGGGAGCCTTAGTTTAGTTTAGTTTTGTTCTAGTCTTTCTGTCAGGTGCATGAGCTCGCCAGAGAGAATGGGAAAGTGAGAAATCTCCCCCCAGTGGGAAGGGCCACACCACAATCCCTTCTCCATTCTCCTGTTGGAATTTTGGGCACGCACGCACATGTGCCCGGCGTGAGTTTCTAGTCTCTGACCTCAGAGTCAGCTACATGGGGTCCAGTGCCTTAGCCTCTGCCACCGCCTGCTGGCCCTGGCTCCTCATTTTTATGCACAAAAAAATGTGAGGTCAGCTAGCCAGGACGGAGGCAGTGCCGTCTCAGACCACAGGCCAGCTCCCTGCCGTCACCACCGTCCACGATGCTGCCTTCCTGACACGTCTACACTTGGCTTGTGGGTCGGCAGTAGCCCCAGGCATGTGACAAGACCCTTGGGAAGGTCTGATGGACCTAACCCAGATCTTTGGCCTTTGCCCCAGGACACATCCGTGGTGGTTCAGACACGGCCCAGTATAGATGAGAACAGCCCTTTCTTAGAGTGCCCCAGGGTGCCCTGGGAAACGGGTACCATCCTCCTGACTGATCCATCTCCCCATCTGCCTGGCTGGGAAACGGCTGCTGAGCTAAGTCTGAGGGGACAGCCTGGCCTCTGGACCTTCAGAGCCTGCTTCTGGGTCCGTGTTAGGGTCAGGCCTGTTTGGTGTTCATCAGGGCTGTCGGCTTCCAGAACTTCTCAGTCCTACCCGCTGGCCTCTTGCTCCTCGCTCAGCGATGCCTCCAAGCCTCTTCATGTGTCCTGGGTGCTCCATACCCCACCACTCCATGGTGGGTGCTCAGACAGCATTTTCTGGATTCCTTACCCCTCAGGCAAGCCCTTACTGTCTCAGTGTTCCCAGCTTACCTCTTAGATCTCCTTTTACATATAAGGAAATGAAGGCCCAGAGAGGGTTGTCAACTGGTGCAGGATCACACAGCAAGTGGAGGCAGGACTGGAACCCAGGTCTCTGCACACCCAGGCAGAAGCTCTTTTTGGAACTGGGGTCTCTCCTCTGGATCTAGACCAGGATTGCTGTATACAGACACTTCTCCCCCAAGAAGCTACGGGGGGGTGGGGGAGAGAAGCCTTCTAAGGCAAATGACTGGGACAACCGGCCTCAAGCATTCTTTACTTCCAGATTCCCTGCTTCTTCCTTCCGTCCTTTCTTCCTTTCTCTCTCTCTTTCTTTCTTTCTTTCTTTCTTTCTTTCTTTCTTTCTTTCTTTCTTTCTTTCTTTCTTTCTTTCATTTGTTTTTTGATTTGTTTTGTTTTGTTTTGTTTTGCTTTGGTCACAGGGCATGTGCACTTGCCAGAGAGATACCGAAAGTGAGAAATCACCCTTCATGGGGGGTGGCCATGCCATAATTCTTTCTCTTCCATTGTCCTCACAGGATTTTGGGCACGCACACACACACACACACACACACACACACACACACACACATCATACACAGTTTTCAAGCCACCAGGTCCATGACTTGAATCATGGTTAGCCATGTGGGAGTTCAGTACACCACCTGCTAGTCTGTGTTTCTCCATTTATAATGGATCTCTGAGGGGCTCTGCTTATTCACAAAAGGCTTTGGCTTCCCATCCTATCAAGAACTGGTTTGGTAGACATCTAAACAAAGATTTATGCCCCACCTGAATTCCTTGTGGTACTCTGAATCCTGGCCATCTGAGTTCAAATCCCAGCAACACCCATTCCTGGTTGTATGACCTTGGACAAGTTACTTAACTTCTCTGACCCATACTTTCCTCATCTTCAAAATGGAGAACATAATCAATAGCTGCCAACCAAAAGGTTGAGGGAATAGGAGGGGGAATAATGCATAAAGCAAA